TATATATTTTTTTTTTTTTTTTTTTAATTAAAGACATTTTTATAATATAATTATAGAATTGGGAACCAACGACCCACCGTTTTCACAACCGGCGTTAACTAGAGACTTGGAGTTCACGGTAACGGGGGCCCACATATTTTTGAGTTTTCGGGTCAAACGGCAAACCTGGTAGGAATAAAATTTAAAAAGTTAAAGAATTAAAAAATTAAAAATTACAATAAAATAAAATGATATAAAAATTATTATCAGCTCAGCTTTGCTCAGAATTTTGTGGCGTCCACGACAAGTTGTTGGAAATCTTACTCATTACAAAAGTACAAACGGATTCTACGGTTGGTTTTCCATTTCATTTCGTTTGCTAGTAATATTCGGCCAAAGAAAATAATAATTCTTCGTTGTTTCTTGCCTGGAGATTCCCCGGAATAATTTCAGAGATTAATTCGTTACTCTGATGAGTTCATTTTCCTAGATTTCTTGCATTTCTCGCGGATTATAATTGTAGTTTGTTTCTGCTTATGATTTATACTTTTTAGCTCTATCCGCTTGTTTCTTTCTTTCTGAATCGGATTCTGAATGAATGGTTAAAATTCCGATTCGGTGTTGTTTGAAGTTCCTCTGTTTTAGAAGGCTGAATTCATGAATAGAAGCCTCCGTTTGATTTTCAAGGGAATTTGAGGATCGTTCTACTCTCTTTTATTACAAATTTGGGGGGTTTGGTGCAATTAGATCCTACGCCCTTTCGTTTTCGCCTGTTTTACGCTTGATTTTCGGGTACTTTCTGCGGTATTCGACTACAGGGGAGTTTGTTTGGGTAGATTTTAGGCAGTTTTTACTTGCAACTTCCTATATACTGTGTTGATTTTTCTAGAAGGGTTTAAGAATTGTTTTTAGGGTTTGATTCTCTTCCTCTTGGACTAGTCTAGTTTAGTTGGTTTGGAACGATAGTTAAAGAAAGTAAGTCTGTTCATCAGTTCTTGATTCTTCACTTAGTTGGATTCTTTATGGGGAAGCAAACTGGAAAGAAGAAGAAGCAGATTGGTGATAAATATCGTGAGGCAATATCGAAACGTCGTCAAGGTGGAGTTGGAAGTTCAAGTTATGATAAAGACCATGTTATTTTCATTACTATGTCTCAGGCTTTAAAGGAGGAGGGCAATAAATTGTTTCAATCTAGAGATGTTGAAGGAGCAATGTTGAAGTATGAAAAGGCCCTGAAATTACTCCCAAGAAACCATATAGATGTATCCTATCTTCGGAGTAACATGGCGGCATGCTATATGCAGATGGGGCTTAGTGAGTACCCCCAAGCGATTCATGAGTGCAATTTGGCTCTTGAAGTTACACCTAAATATAGTAAGGCATTGTTGAAGCGGGCTAGATGTTATGAGGCTTTGCATAGACTGGACTTGGCTGTAAGAGATGTTAATGCAGTTTTAAACATGGAGCCTCGAAATATTATGGCGTTGGAAATATCAGAGAGACTAACAAAGGCACTTATGATGCAAGGATCAAAGGAAGACGTTGCTGAGATCAAGCTGCCTCTTGATTTTGTTGAACTGCCTTCTTCGGTGTTGCCGCAAGAAAGACCAAAAGAGAAGAACCGAAAGACGAAAAACAACCAAAAGACTATGGAACCCATTGATGGGAAGAAGGCTGATGAAACAGTGGAGGAGAAGGCTGATGAAATAATAGTGGAAAAAGAGAAGGCCGATGAGACCGTGGAGGAGAAGAAGGCTGATGAAATAATAGCGGAGGAAGAGAAGGCCGATGAGACCGTGGAGGAGAAGAAGCCTGAGGATAAACTTGTTGTGGAGGAGAAAATCAACAGGACACAGGAGGAAACACCTATGAAATCTGTGAAATTGGTGTTTGGAGACGATATTCGATGGGCTCAGGTGCCAATTGATTGCACTCTATTGCAACTGAGGGAGGTTATTCATGATCGTTTCCCAGCCTGTGCAGCAGTTCTTATTAAGTACAGGGATGAAGAAGGTGATTTGGTAACAATTACGTCTGATGAAGAATTACGATTGGCTGAAACATCTAAGGAGTCGCAGGGTTCTATTAGATTTTATATATTTGAAGTTAATCCAGAGCAAGATCCATTCTATGAAAGGTTCAAGAATGATGAGGATTCCAAGTGTAAAGTTGAAGAAAATAGCTATGTATTAAGAGCAAAAGAAATGAAGATATCATCTTGCATTGATGACTGGTTAATTCAATTTGCTCAGTTATTTATAAACCACGTTGGGTTTGAATCAGGCCCATACCTGGATCTCCATGACCTTGGGATGAAGCTTTATTCTGAGGCTGTGGAAGAGACGGTAACGAGTGAAGAAGCTCAGGGTCTTTTCGAATCAGCAGCAGAGAAGTTTCACGAGATGGCAGCCTTAGCACTCTTCTACTGGGGTAATGTTATCATGTCAAGGGCGAGGAAGAAGGTCTACTTTACAGATGGTGTGTCAAAAGTATCTTTGTCTGAACAAATCAAAGCTGCGTACGATTGGGTCGAAAAAGCATACGTCGAAGCAGGAAATAAATATCAGATGGCGGTGAAAATCAAGCCAGACTTTTATGAAGGCTATCTAGCACTAGGACAACAACAGTTTGAGCAGGCAAAGCTTTCTTGGCATTATGCAGTTAGCAGCAATGTTGATCCGAAAACATGGCCTTGTACGAAGGTTATACAACTTTATAACAATGCCGAGGACAATATGGAAACAGGCGTGAGGATGTGGGAAGAATGGGAAAAGCAGCATACCGCCGAACTCTCTAAATCGAGCGATGTTGAAACCCCCTTGCAGAAGATGGGGTTAGATGGACTGATCAAGGATATATCAGCTGATGAGGCTGCAGAACAGGCTAAGAATATGAGGTCTCATATAAACCTCTTATGGGGCACCATGCTCTACGAGCGATCCATGTTGGAATTTAAGATGGGGCTGCCATCATGGCATGAATGCCTAGAAGTTGCAGTTGAGAAATTTGAGCTTGCTGGTGCTTCTTCAACTGATATCGCAGTTATGATAAAGAACCACTGTTCAAGCAACAACGCACATGAAGGTACAGTTTCAAATATATTCATGTTTAGAAGCTGTCTGTGCATCAGGTGAC